GAAGACGAACCGCGCTCTGGACGACCATCAACGTCTACCGACGAGGGCCACGTCCAAAAAAATTGAAGATTTGGTGCTTGAAAATCGTCGACTGACAATGAGAGACCTCGCTGATAGTGTTGGAATATCATTTGGCTCAGTCCAAACCATTTTGAAGGATGTTTTGTGTCTCAAACGCGTCAAGTCTCGATTGGTGCCATGTCATACTGCATTGGTTCTTCGCGACTTTTTTGCCAAAAACTCGACTCATATCGTTCCGCAACCACCGTATTCGCCTGATTTGGCTCCGTGCGACTTCTGGTTATTCAGCAAACTCAAAAAGCCAATGCGGGGACGCCGTTTTGACACGATTGAGGAGATAAAAACCGAATCGAAGAAGGTCTTGAAGGCTATACCGGAAAAAGACTATTCCGACTGTTTCGAGGACTCGAAAAAGCGTCGGAAACAGTGCGTTTTATCGGACGGGGATTACTTTGAAGGGGATGAAATTGATTTGGAAGAATAAATAAAGAATTTACATTTTATAAACAAATTCACCTTACTTTTTGATCACAGTAGTATACTAGTCATTCGGAGCAATTTTCGTTAATAATATCACGGATTATAAATAAATAATTGTTTCGTAACCGAATTAGTACCTTTATCCATCGCGTAAAAACAAATAAGTTGACTCACATCCTTGTTGGAAACAAAGATTCCCATGTGTAATGCACACCAGCACGGATACATGATACCGAGCTGTATTTTTATAATTAATCACGCACGGATAATTTCGGATTTCCATTTCAACCGGATACAATATTTCACTTTCCTCGCGTCCTGTCGAGCTACCAGTCGAAAGCATTTATCTTCGAAACTTCCTAACAGCTTCTGAACCGCTTTAAAAAAAAAAGAGAAGAAGAAGAAACGCTCGCGAGCGCACGCTTGCTATCGCGCGCGTATCTCACGGGAAACAGGAATTTTTACTTAAAACGCAAGCATTCCGTGCCGTCACTGTAACCGAACCCTCTAAACTTTGCGCGCCCTTCAACTCGATTCGATCCGGGATTAAATCTTTGTCTTTAATTAGATGTCTTATGGTGTTAATTAATTTTATGAAGATTAAACGCTCGCAATTTTTTCTTTCATAGACGACAGTTTCGATTCGACTGAATTTATAACACAATTTTCGTACTCATTTATTTCACATGTAGAAATATTTATGATTATGGTTGATAGAAATTTACATAGCTCAAATTTAAACTAGCATTTGATCAATTATATCATTCAGATATGTATGCTTAATGAAATTTTTCGAAAATAAATTGATAATATTAGCATACTGTTTTGAACGGATTGAGCATATTAACAAAGACGATTGTTTTGTTTATTACCATTGAGATAGAAAATTTGTATTTTCCATAAAGAAACGTAATTTGATTATAAAATGCGAAAATGAAATTTGCAGAAACATCTGCTAATTACGCTCATTGCTCTGACGTGTTACTCTGTGTATGTCATTAAATTTGCTGCAAATTTCCACATTTGCGTCACTCGTTTACAGCATCTTTAACTTCAAAGTATCTGCATAATACCGAAGATCGATCTGAACTTGTAGCACTTAGTGCTATTCTGTCGAATTATTATACAAAGGACTGTGTTATGGAACACGTTTCTTGCGAATGTCGGATAAGCTTCAATACTTTCTGCGATGTATTTAAAGCCAAGTGCAGCTTCCTCACCATGTTCAAGGTTAAATTAAAAAAATAAAAAATTAAAATCCTCGAGAAGAATTTCGAATTCAAATTTATCTTAGTAAAAAGACAACCAATCACAGCGATCACCTAGAACTATTGTCGGGTAAAATATAAGACAATAT